TACCTACTGGACCCTAAATCCTAAGAAATCATGCAGAAAAACAGCACTGAAAAGCTGAAGTGGATATAAAGGTACTGCTGAGTCGTCATGATAAAGATGAAGGTGAAGGTGGCAGCATCAAGTCAGTCCTTAGGATGGCCAGGTTTGAAAGGACTCTGATGATCAGGAAATGTCTATAATGTAAAGCCCAAGAAAGCAAGAATTTAATAAATCAGAGATAAACCATGATTTCTGCCATACCAGCAACTGCAAATTGACATCTGATGGTACTAATCTGATTGACCAGGGAGGTGTTGGAGTCCCCATCCCTGGAGGGGTTCAAAAAACATGTGGACACGGTACTTCAGGACATGGTTTAGTGGTCATGGTAGTGTTGGGCTGATAGTTGGACTTGGTGATCTTAGAGGTCTTCTCAAATCTTAGTGGTCTTCTCAAATCTTAGTGATGCTACAATTCTAACCTCCTTTTGAGAAATTAGACAACTAACAAAAATACCACTTTATACATTTAAAAAAAAAATAACAAACAAGGGGGGAAGCAGGGATAGGGGTGATCGTGTTCTTCCCCTAGAAGGTTAGATGTGGGTTTGGTAATTTTAAAGACAGTACTCTCCTTTTCCTGTGCCTATACAGTTTGGGATTGGTTTATTCTAAACAAAACAGCATCAGTTGCCTTGTATTTCAAACTGTTTTACAGACTAATAGTTATGAAAATGAAGAAACAGCCCCTGATCCAAGACGATGCCATCCAGTCACAGCATGCTCACAAAAGCATCCTCAGCATGTGAGCCCACCACAGACAAAGCTTCATTTTTACACACAGGTAATCAGAGAAATAAACTAAGCAGCTAATGGACAGTCATTAACCAGGATCTCCTCACTACCCGCAAGAAATTGCAGTTTATAAAGTATAGCATGATTTATGCTTCTAATTCTTTATCAAATCAGCAGCGATCTCTTCTTGAGAGAGTAATAATGTTTAGAACAGGAATCCTGCAGCAGATTCTGGGCTGCACAAAAACTTGTGTGTGATCCTCACTCTGCTTCAAAACATGGGACACTTCAATACATGAGACATTTCCAGACATTTTGGGTACTACTGCAATAGCTGCAAAAAACTTGTCAGGAAACTCTCGCTGTTTTAAAACCAGGGCTCCTGGAAACAGGAGTAAATTCTCACTCACCTCAAAATGTCACAAGTAAAAACCTAATTAAAGGCATTTTATATGAATCACCAAGCAGTTTGATGACTTAAAATAATCAGTGACAACCTACCAAATGCATTTTGAAGCCATGCTCCAAAAGACTCTGTCGTTATTACTGCTCATGAAACAGAGATGAAACCGTGCGGCTTTATTTCACAGCACTAGAAATCCAAAACAAGCTCTCAAAATTCATCCAGTTAGTACCATATTATTACAAACTCATGTTGTGTCCAGTGGTTTGACAGCTCACTGTCCACCAGCATTATGGCAGCAGTACTTACAAAGAGGAAAAAAAATTGCCAGGAAGATTAGTTAAGCTTTAGACGTTTAACAAAACACAACACAATTTCAAACATATTTAAGGCCAGCATCCAAGAACACAGTCAGTGTTTTGCATGAGTGAAAGCTTCCAGTTTGAGAAAAGTTGCAAACAAAGTCCTCAATGGATGGCTGCGACGAGGTGTTTAGTCCAGAGCCACGTGAAGGAAGAGAAAACATTCTTTTTCTTGCAGGACTTTTTCAGGATGTGGTAACTTGGTAATGCCATGGCACACGGCAGCCTGTCCCAATGCTGCTCACTGAGCTACTGCACGACTTGATGGAGCTACTTTGATCCATTTTCATCTTCCCTTTTAGTATATTGGCAAATTTATATATTTCCTAAACAAAAGGGTCTTACTGAGGTCACCTCCCTAACAGTAAGACTCAGTCACATGAGCAAGCACCTAGAACATTTACATGCCCAAACACTTCTTCACTGCAGTTGGGCAAAGCTTCCCCATTCAGACCCGAGTTCTCCCACAGGAGTCAGCCAGTGCCTCCTTTAAATACAGATCCCTACTCAATTAGCACATTCCCTTTTCAGTTAATTGCTGACAGCCACTGAAGACATAGAGGTAGGATGGACCTCTACCCCCAGGCCAAAGAGGAAACAGGTTCCGAAGAGTCATCCTTGCAGCCTTTGCCCAGAATTTAAGCATACAATCCACTTGGTGATGCAGAAGCAAATGATGTGTCACCCTAGAAGGAATTTTTTGGTTCCTCCACCTCGTCTGGCACATAATCCAAAAAGCAGTCAAGTGCAATGTATCCCTTCTCCAAAAGGAAGAAGGACGTATCTTTTAACAAACACCATGCCTGAAAATCAGTCCCCCTGACCTGACAGAAAGAAATCCTCCATTCATCTCCAACAGCCAGGCTTTCATCCCTTCTGTTCACACCACGAACCACCACAGGACAACTGACTCACAGAAAAAATATTTGTTCAAAGGTGGATTTTCTCATCCTTGTATCTGCTATTTACCAAACTTAACTGCCTTTAAACAAAGGTTCATTTCTTCCTAGCATGCCTCAAATGTTGCAATAAAGTTCCTAACAGGCAACTATGATGATAATTATGATCCTTTGACTTAGTCTCAAGGTAGGATGATGTAAAAAAGGAGGCATCGAGAGCTCTTCTAGCAGTAAAAGTCATATGCTGGGGCTGACAACTACCCTGACCTATATTCCTACATTTGTTTCAGCGTCAACGCTCCTCCCAAACCACTTCACTGGTTTCAGGCAAATATTTCACCAGGGTGTTAATGCCAAAATACCCACCAGTTTTCATCAGTACGTTCAGGCATCATAACCTGTGTCTCCACAGAAATCAGTGCACTAATGAAGTGGGGCCCTACATGCCAACACAGGGAAAAGGCCTTAACGCAGAGTACAACAGTAAAAAACAGGTTTTTGGTTGCTCCTTACCTTACAGATATGTAAACCTTAAGTGCTTTTATACAAGCCATATTAGAAGAAAAAAAATAAAAAGCAACAGGAGCCAAAATCCTCAATATAAAAATGAAATTTATATGCTGAGTTTAACTCCTCAACTTTGAGCCAGTTTGGCTTTCTCTTTCCAGCATCATGTAAGTTCCTGGCTCTGCAGGTGAGCCTACAAAAATAAGCTACCCTGGAGGAAATGAGGGTATAAATGTTTATAGTGCACCTCATACCCTGTGGTAACCACCCACCCCAACCTTTCACCCCCTCCCCAGTAAACACAGCAAACTACGCCCCTCTTTACTATGGGGTGAGCTCTGGAACACTCATCATAATGTGTGAGGTACACACTTCAAGAGATACCAGCACCATCAATCCACACCCTCACCTGCTTTGGGGCAACTTATTCACACAGCTACTCCCTCTGGGCTGTGAAGAATTTTTTTCAGACATTTCTGGACAATTATCTTCATTATTGCCTTTTCTGCCATACTGCAGAGCTCCAAAATACCTTGCAACTTTCAGCAGCAAGTGACCCTACCTTAAGTGCAGTTATTTTAAGAAATCACCAGTACTTGTATATAATTAATTTCTTTAAAACCAGCTTCAAGAACAAGGTGGCACATCAAATGTGTGAGGCCTACTCAAGTGACACCACATTTGGTGTCATAGAATCACAGAAGCTATAAGGTTGGAAGAGACCTCCACAATCATCACGTCCAACCATCAACTCAACACTACCAGGACCACTACACCATGTCACCAGGTGCCATACACACATGCTTTCTGAACCCCCTCCAGGGATGGGGACTCCACCACCTCCCTGTGCAGCCTGCTCCAATGCCTCACCACTCTGGCAGGAAAGAAATTCTTCCTAATAATCCAGTCTAAACTTCCCCTGGTGCAACTTCAGCCCATTGCCTCTCATTGTATTGTTACTTACTTGAGAGAGAAGACCAACACCCACCTCACTCCAACCTCTTTCAGAGTGTTAAAGCTAGCAGAAGTCAAGCCTCAGACAGATACTTCTTACAGTTCAAAACCTTCCTGGACTTAGGGTTAGCAACAATCTTATCAAGAAGGAGGTTGAACTAGAGAAGACCTCCAGAAGTCCCTTCCAACCACAGCTGCTGTCAGCACCTAGACAGGACCAAGATGTTCATAGCCATAGCAGAGCGTAAGGTGAATGCCCCAGCTCAAACCTTCAACACACAAAACTGATGATGGCAAGTGAAAGGACACATCAAACTTAGAGACCAACTCCTGCATTTCCCAGAACACCTTAAGAGAAGAGTGGCTACTTCCCATTCCCTCACTGTTCTCTTTTTTTTTTTTTACCTCCTCTTTTTAAAGATAATTTACTTACCCTGGAGGCTAACTTGCTATGCAGAATAGGTCAATGATGATTTTCAGATTTTTTAACTCCTGGACCCTTTTCAAGCAGATAGTGCATGCAAGAACACTGCAACTCCTCCTGCTTTAAATGCCAAAAAGAGACGTTCCCATGGTGCTGTCCAGGCAGAAGTTGGGCAGCTGTGCAGAAGGACTATGAACCCTCTCCCTCCTAGAAGCTTAGGAAAAGGAGCTGAAAAGCTCACAGGTTTGACTTATTTCATGCCTGCCACAGGAAAACAGCAGCTAGCAAAACAGGCAGCGCAAAGCAATACTGAATCAGTCCAACCACCTTCAGCTTTGACAAATCAGAAGTCGCCCCAGCTCTTAAAATCCATCTAGAGCACACTCATAAGAGGAATGACCAATGAAATTACTTATTCGTACATACAAACATACGGGTACACTTCATCTTGCATCATGTGTGTTAGAAATTCTCAGCAACATCCCTGTTCCAGCTTTTGTTTTTGTAATTGTGCTTGTGTAATAAATAAACAGTGCATTGAGCTAACTGAGACAACCCATCAGATCTGAAAGTTGAGAAAGTCAACACAGCAGCAGCAAATCACCAAAGTGCTTGTTCACAACGTCTGTCGGACAGACCCCAGATCAATTTGCAGAACACCCACTCTGCTTCCTTCCCTCAAAGTTCGTCGACAGCAGTAACATTAATTTTTGGCAATTCACACTCTTCTTTGAAGTGGCAGTTTTCCAGGATGTCCTTGTAATAGTCCTTGAGGTCCGCATACGTAGAGATGGTTTTGTTGGAGTGATGGAACGACATCAGTTTTTCGTTCAGCAGCATCTGCACTTGATACTCCTCCTCAGCAGCCGTCACGTGGTCGCAGTGGTAGAGCACGAACACCAGGTTGGCTCCGTACGGCACGATCCGGCCGCTGCGGAACTTCCGCTGCGCTTGCCTGAGGTAATTGTTTGCCCTGAGAGGCTCATCATCTTTGAAGAAACCCATCAGGGCAAGCAGCGGCTGAAGGGTCTCCGCATGTCCAACTTGTATAATTAAAGGTGAGGAAATGGGTTTTGAACTAAAAAACAAAAAAAAAAAAAGAGAAGCAGAAGGGATGAGCAAGCGCCTGTGCTGTAAAGCAAACAAACAGAGCGCACGGCTCTCAGCAAAGGAGGCTTAAAGCAGAATTTGAACTGGGTTTATACCACTGCACGATAAAATCGTGTTTGGGAACTTCAGTGTATTAGACTTTTTTTTTTAAAAGCATCACAGCTTCCTAAATTTTGTCCCAATCTAAGCTATTGGCTCTTACATAAAAGGTAAGAAGTTGTATTAGGTGTAGCTAGGCTACAGGTGGAGCCTGGCACAAATATGGCACAGAAAGCAAGTAGCTCGTGTCTTCTGCAACACTGGGCCACCACAAACACCTATCGCCATTCCCCTGCCACGGGAAACCTCCCTGCCATTCTTCTTTTCTTAACCAAATAGAACTTTTACTAGGAGTTTCACAGAGTTGCTTTAGTTCAAACCCACGGCTAAACCAGAACAGCTTTTCCCAGGATACCAGAAGTATCCAAATTTCCAGGCATAATGAATTATTAAGTGAGACCATCCAGGATGCAATCTGTTTCACAGAAAGCAATGACTTATTATTAAAAGCCTACCTTTTTTCTTTAGCTAGTCTAAATACTTCAGAGCTGTTTTAAAAAGTCTTTTTGATAAGCTTTTGACTAAATTAATCCAAGGTGTAGCAAAGAGAAGCCCCCACCCAGCTTAGACCTGGAAAGCTGTCAAGTTCTCAGCATTAAGTTTGCTAGAATTGAGGATTAAAAAACCCTTTTCCAACTGCTGCAGTAAAAGTTAAGTGACAATTCAGTTTCAAGATCAAAATCAATTTGAAGTACAAACTTACCAGCCCATTATAAAACTAAAGTAAACCCCTACTTACCTTCTGACCTAATTACAACTACACGATTGCTTGCACAAGCAAACAAATCACTGATTTAAGGCACAAACTGCTTCCCTTCCTGGCACACCACCACCAGAGCAGGATTTAAGGAGTTTCTTGCCCACCTCTATGACCACTAGTGCTTTTAACTGCCTATCCTGCTAGAACAAGAATAGTAACTTGATAGGGAAACCCTGCCAAGTTTTTTTATTTTTTTTCTATAACATGGTTCAGCTGTTTGAAAGGTGCATCAGCATTTACCAAAGTTTAGTTTGAAGACATGGATCCAGTCACTAACAGAAAACAGTTATCCCTCTGCAATTAATTAGTTCAACTTGTAAGTGGGACTACTGTTACTGCTAATTCTTGAGAATACCTACTAGGCAAAAAGAAGATTCTGCTCCCTCAGCGCACAGGCCACCAAATTAAACTGCTGATTCATACCACAAACAAAGCCTAAATCGAGGACAGTTTGGGCAACAGAAGGTTGGTTACACATTGCTCAACCAAGAGCTGGCTTGCTGCACAAGGAAGCAGCAGCCAAGACAAAAATCCGCCCTTTGCTACAGAGAAGGATGATGGTTATTGGGGACTGTCTCCAAATGGCCCCAGAAGCCCAGGTCACTTGATGTAAAACCACCTTTACCTCTCATGAGGCAAGAGGTGGTCTTTGGCAACACTCCACCAGCCACTGAGGTCCACCCACAGATGAGATACAACTAGATTGGCCTGGAACGAAGGCGGTTCCACCGCTCCTACCTAAAGTCTGAAGCAACTGAAAAAACGGTTAACTGGGGGACCTTCCCGACCAGAGTTCCCATCTACAGGCAAGCCAGAATTCAGGGCAGGCACCGGATGGGCTTGGTGCTACCAGCTCGACACAGCCCCATTGTTTGTGCAGCCCAAAACAGAACCTGCAGCTCTTCAGCCTCTGCTCCTTAGACAGGGATGTGCACAGCTGTGCACACCTCCCCCCACCCCGGCAAAAAATAATTTAAAAAATAGATCAGAAACCTGCCTGTCTCCTATTCAAAAGAAGCATCAGAACTACAGAAAGGTTCTGGATGGAAGATGTTACATGTTTTTCATCCATCTCTTTGCTGCACCAAGTTGTGCATTCACTGTAGCCTCTCTTCCAGCTCCTCCAAAGCCCGTGGTTCTGCCTGTGTTTCTCCCCTTGTTATTTAAGATTCCTCATTTTAAAACTGTAAAGCTTTTGGATCTTTTGACCCCATTCTCTTCCTTTCCTCTTCATTCTGTGTTCCTTTCTCTTACTCATCTGACTAGTTCATTTATATCCTCCACACACACCTTCAGGCAATTATTTTTAGGTTTTCAGACACGTTCACATCCCTACTGTCAGCCAGCCACCAGGAAGAGCAGCAAAACCCACATCCTTACAGCAGACAACAGAAGGCTGGTCCTTGGACCTGTTGCCATTTCCAACTCGGAGGTCTGCTGGGCCAGACATGGCTTCTACGTAACGTAGGACCTCTCACCAAATCATTCCTTTGTCAAACCTCTCCCTAAATCCATGCACATTTCTGTTACGCACAACACTCCACAGAAAGGAGCTGCACAGCTTCACACACTGCTCTTGATTTTTTCTATTTGTAGATGCTATGTACTGTTTAATCCTGTCTGCTTACAACTTTGCAATGATATTCTTTCCAAGTTGAGAAATCCTACCTTAGTCATACCACCATTTGTCAAATGAGCTCTATCCTTTTATATCAGAGCATTAGAAATGCACAAGATTCCAACAGTAGCCCTCCTCATAAATTCACAGTGCACCCATGATGCTCTGTGTTCCTAATTCATGACATCTTAACACCTTTTCTAGTCACCTTACCGAAGTTCCAGATACTTCCAGACAACTGTAATAATCTCAAAACTCAACTCCTGAGCAGTAAATTATCCAAGGTTCTACCTCACAAATGATAAGAGAATTTTTACCATGTGGGTTACTTCATAGAGCTGCAATTTCTAAGCCTCGTCTCACAAGGTCCTGTCACAATCTTCCTAGTAGAAACAATTTATCTTGCTTATCTTGAATAAAAGTGCTGCATTTGCAACACCACTCAAGCACTCACCTCTTTCTCCTGGCCATTTACAACATGTTGAGCAGCTGAGATCCTTGCACATCTATCTCCACTAGAGACATGCCGCTGCTAGAAAAATCAATCCACTCTCCCCACCCTCCATTTCCTGGATTTTTATCCATTTTTCTACCAATGTAAGGACATTCCCTCTTAACCCTGGTGGCTTGATTTGACAAGGACAGATGCTTGGAAATCATGACTCCCAATCCCCTTCTCTACAACTCCCTGAAGGGAGACTGGAGTGACGTGGGGGTTGGTCTCTTCTCCCAAGGAACTAGCAATAGGCTGAAGCTGCACCAGGGGAGGTTTCAACTGGCTATTTAGAAGAACTTCTTTCCTGCCAGAGTGGTGAGGCATTGGAGCAGGCTGCCTGGGGACATGGTGGAGACTCCATCCCTACAGAGGTTCAAAAAAAATGTGTAGACATGACACCTGGGGACATGGTTTAATTGTCGTGGTAGTGCTGGGTTGGTGGTTGGGCTTGATGATCTTGGAGATCTTCTCCAACCTTAATGATTCAATAATTCTATTTGTATGCTTGCTGATCCTTCTCAGGAGCTCCCAGAGGTGTGTTTTCCAGATGCTACTCTTGTATACCACACTTTGTCAAGGTGTTTATCAATGCTAGTCCCAACTGTTATTTCTACTAGGTCTTTAATTCTGATTCTCTCCTGGAGCTGTTTTTGTTGTTGCTGTTTTTCTTTTTTTCATTTATTTATTTGGTTTTAAATCATTACACCTACTAGCCCCCACAAGCTTCTTGGCTGAAACCAATACACACAGATGGTCTGTATTTTCTAGCTTACTAAGCAAGGAAACTAGTAGTGTAAATATGCTGCTAACGTCTTCAAAGCAAGTGTTACATGGGCATTATTCACTACCCAGGGAGTGGATTTCACATGCCCACCCCACCACCCAAAAAAAGTTTCAGAGCTGCTAAGAAAAGAAAAAGAAAAACAACCAAACAAACTAAAAAAACACATTTAAACATTCTGGCTACCAGTGCTGACTTGAAGCAAGGTTTGGCTTTACTCCCCAGCTGATCCTAGCAGGAGTTTTGAAATGGATGCAAATCACAAGAAGTTCTCAGTTAAAAAACTAGCAAGACACGTTTCCAAACCCGGAAACAAATCACAGCACATGCACACACAGAGAGAAGCTTTAAAGAACCAGGAAAGAAAATGCCATGAAGACAAAACACAAGGGGATCATTCTCACTGTAACTTGAGGTTTTCTTTTACCTGCTTCAGTCTCATGAAATCCTCATGCCAACAGGCTAAACCACCTCGGGAGACAAACCAAACCTCTCCCACTCACAGCTACCCCACCATATTATTTAATGAGGATTAAAACTGTTTCCTTATACGATGCAACCCTGAGTTCTCAGCAGCCTCTCCAACGTGGAATACTTGGTTTCTCACCAGTGCTGGATATCTGATTTCTAAGACTACTCAAGCACTCCCTGTTCAGTCTCTGGGGTCAAGACTCAGTTCAGACGTAGTTTCCTATCACCTAATAGCGACAATAAAAATCACCATCAAGGTTAAAACAGCAACAATGGCATTTTTAATCAGGGGGAAATCACAAAAGATTGCCTCTTCAGAGCATGTACACAGGCAAAGGTTACTACTGCCCCTACACCTCCGATAAAGTAAAGACAGGAGTGCAAAGCACAGTCACCAAAACACTGATAAATTCTGAACAGTAGCACGGGCTAATAAAATATTACACACAAGGCCTGATGTTTCCACACTCAGTCTTCTTTACGATCAATTAACAACTCAGCATCACGTGGAAGCATCGGTCAAAGTTCTCAACATCGTACTCTGGAAACTGTTAATGATATTTCAGTTCACTTTTTTTTTTCCTCTCCATTTTATTTAGTAGTAAATGACTTGGGAAAGCACATCCATCAATAGCAAAAACATAAATCTCATTTCCAACTTTAAAGGGAGATGAAGAGACTGTACATAAAACTTTGCCATGGAACACTAAGACTTCATCTGAAAGGCAGTGCTGGTGATTGGTTTCATATTCATTTTATGGGGCACCTCCTAATGAGCAGGACACAAGCCATGTCCACTGAAGCCATGTGTCAACTTCAGCTACTGAACCACCCACACTGTCACCTTCTAAGTAAATCTGACCCCAGCTGAAAATGAGGAAGTTACTGACCAATTCCTCAGTACAACCCTGAAAGAGAAGTCTCACCGTGGAAAATTGGGCACCATGGAGAATCACTGATCCAGGATTTAACATTCAGGCGAATCCTAGTTCTCCTTAATCCCAGCAAATTTGGGTTTAACCCTGAAACTTCTGCAGTACTTCACCCATCCTTAAAAGGAGTGCTCTTCCTAGGACCACCAATCACTTCCCATATGGAAGGAGCAAACCTTCAGCTAAGCAAAACGCAAACCCCAGGAGACAGTGGGACAAGAAGGAACGTTTCCTACAGTGAAGTTTAACTGGTCTATCTTCATAAGTCACATAAAGATGCCCCCAACAACGAGTTTTAACAACTGTTAAACAAGCAAGCTGAGACTACATTCCATCTTTTTTCTCCCCAGTACAAAAGCCAGGACAAAGGACTCAAACCACTCTGTTTTCAGCTATGGGATGAATTCTCCATCCCTCCCACTTTCCCCTATAAGTTTTATCTGGGAGAAAAAGAGCTGGAGGAACCCTAGATCTACAAGGAAACAGCAGAGATGGGGGAATGCAGTGGCAGCGGGGGGACTCAGAGGGCAGCAGAAATACTTAACAGTGGTCTTCCTCAGACTGTTATCACCAGTGGAAAGAAGGGGAAAAAAAATTAAAAGTCTGTCAAACAGCATTGAGTCTTCAGGTGTCAAAACTTCCACCTTGAATATCAGGACAGAAGACAGCTGTGCTCATTCACTTCTAGAATCAACACCAACACAACAAAAGGCCACCACAAATACTGGTAAGATAGAACTTCTTTTCCATCAGGGACACACATGAGCTCACTCATGGCAAAGGCCAACTCATTTAAAAGCCCGATTAAAAGGCAACAGCTCTTATCTAGTCCTGCAAGAGTTAATCACCCAAGGCTAACCAGGCTTTCTGCATTCCACTTCAGAGCTTCTGCAGTTTCAAAGGCTCCTTTCTGAATGATCCCACCTCTCGAATTCCCACAGACCTCAGAGATTAAATGTGTTATTGCAGCAGCATCATGCCAACGCTAAGTGTTGAACCGTTGTGACGAGCCAAGACCAAGTCAAGAGGATCATGCCACGTGTAAAGCCCTTCCTGCCCAAGGGGAATACCAGTTAGATCAGTTCATTTGTGTGGCAGTTACCTAGGTACTACTTTGCTTTTATTCTTTTTAACTCCTTAGATAAAAGGCTATGACTCTGTAAAAGTTGCTGAGATATCTTTTCAGAGTAATCCTGAGCAAGCAGGTATTAGGTAATTAATGTGAGGTTAAGTATGCTCTGGGAGGTTTCAAAGGCACAAGCAACACTTTAGACACTTCGAAGTAAGCCCACATAGTAGCCTGCTGGCTACAAACCACCCTGCACGTCAAATAATACAAATGACATGTCTGCATGTCATAGCCCTGGTTTTCCTTTGGAGCTGCTCTGCTACTGGGCTGGTGATCAAACACACCAGTTCACAAGTTCCACCAAGGGACACAAAACACCCTGAACCTGCCGATGCAGCAAGAGAGCCAAGAACATGCCCTGTGCAAATGTGGCATCCCACCACAAAGTTTTATTAAAAGAAATGACTGAACAATTTAGCTTTGAGCAAGGCTTTTTTTTTTTTTTTAATCTGATTGTATCATTTCTGCTGCACACGTGGAAGCTTTTTTGCTCGGTTCCTTTTGCACATACTATAAAAAGGTTGTTTTGAACAGTTAATTGGGTTTAGATCATAGATCAAATTCTTTTGTACTGAGTCATAGGTTGGAAGGGAGCAATTAGGGCCCAGTAGTAAAGGGCTACAAAGAGGTTATCAGTTGTGTTGTGAACTGACCTGCAAAGAAGGCAGCAAATTATGTGAAACAATAAAAGCTACTAATAAATTGGCACATTGGGCTGTTTACCTTATAGCTTAGCCTGGCATAAAAATTACCTTCACTTGATCTTGAAATATGTCCAAATTCAAATAAGTCTTTATTTTAAATACCTTGAAGCTGCTTACTCTCAGAGAAAACCACCAAGTATTTTGCAATGTGTCTGTGCAGCTAGGTTAGTATTTTCAACTATCAGCCCCTACCTTAAACACTGAGATGGCTGCACCAAGCACACCTCCCCATTTCCAAAGACTTAGGGTAATCCGTTCAGACAGTGCAAGTAATAACAGACACCTCATATCCTCCTTCACAGGGGTCTGGTGGAGGGTC